GTGTGTGTGTGTGTGTATGTGTGTGTGCGTGTGTGGCGCACGTGTGTGCAGCACAGAAGTGGATGTACGGCGGCCTGGACAGTAATCTGCTCCTGCAGTACATCGCCTGGGTCAGCTACCCCGTGGTGCTCATCACATTCTCGGCAGGATTCACCCAGATCCTGGCTCCTCAGGCCGTGGGTGAGGCGCACCTTTTTAAAGACTTCACCCGCGCCGACATATGTTTCGCATCAGCCGATCGGCTGCGGCTGCTGCGTGTTTGAACAACGTATTGCTTCCGTCATGCGCCATCAGGCCTCCAAGGACGTAGAAGAACACCCTTTTCATACGCGTGTCGGCGGGCAATCCAAAGACTATCGCTGTGATAACATGCGAGTCCAGAAGATTATATGAATATCAATCAGCGCTACCGCCCCACCACCGGCCTCTTTTTTTGTTGCTCGTTTATTCTGCTTGAATTGCTTTCTTTCAACTCCTCTTTTCTCTCCACTCCATCATGGCAACACCTGGCATCGTGTCGTTCCTCAGGCTCGGGCATACCGGAAATGAAGACCATCCTGAGGGGAGTTGTCCTCAAGGAGTATTTGACTTTTAAGACGTTCGTGGCCAAGGTCATCGGGCTCACCTGCGCCCTGGGCAGCGGGATGCCTCTGGGGAAGGAGGTAGAGGATCTGCTGCCGACTTTGATGCTTGACAGCTTCACGTCGGGACGGAATAGCTTGGTCTTGTCTCGGAAAACTTTACTGTGCTCTGCTTTTTGAATGTTTCTACGAGATTTCAAAGCTAGTCAATCCAGTCCGATCGCTTTAATTCCCCCAAAAAAGTTATCTTTAGTGATTTCTTGTGTTATCATAGTCGGACAGAAATCTCGTACATCCAAATATGGTCCTTGACATGTTTTTTCAACAACTGGTTGGCCCCCACTGCGTCTGTTATTTTTTATGCATTATTAACCAATTACATCTCGGAGGATCAACTGTCTGAGAAGTGTTGGAAAATTCCTTCCCGTCCCTCACTCTGCGGGAGTCGTACGAACTTTTGTCCCCTCAAGAAAGTTTGCGTGTACAGTGTACACGTTAGCGAGTCGTTTGAGTTTGTTAAAAATGGCCAAATGTAAAGTCGATTCATCCATCAATCGGCAACTAATCGATTCTCAAGTGAATCGCTCATTATTTTTGATAATTAACAAGTCCTCTGAATTGCAGCCTCGCAACAGTCAATCTCTGATTTGTGTAGTCCTCCGTGAAAGCCGACTTATCTTTGTTTTGAATAAAAAAACAAAACAAAAAAAATAACGCAAAAACGATCAAGCATGTTGGGGAGTTTAAAAATAATTTTTGAAAAGACATGTCCAGTATGTTATGACTCCCATGAGTCAAAAGCTGAGCTGCACTGTATTTGTTTACGGAATAAACTGGTGACTCGAGCACAAGGTTTTCAATGGAGGTGTTAAAACCATTTCTTTTTCCGCTAACGTGTCATTCTTCTCCATCCTGCTCGCCAGGGACCTTTTGTCCATGTGGCCAGCCTGTGTGCCGCCCTCCTCAGCAAATTTATGGCTGCTCTTTTTGGGGGAATCTACATGGTGAGAATGGACTTCATCTATGCATGCAACTTCCACTTTTTTTTTTATTTTTTTTTTTTTACTCAAACCCTAATGAATATTTTATTCCAGCAAAATTCAGTGATGAAGCAATCAATATGCACTTGTCCATTAATTGACTTAATAACCCTACTAACAATAACAATGGCATTTCACATTTTATAATTGCAGGACAAGCAGCTTTCAGTAGGCTATGGGAAAGCGTCATTTTGAAGGAAATTGAGGAGTTTCTTTGGGCCAAAAGTAGTCCTTTGGTGCCATCTTGAGATAGCAGTTGACCTCTATGTACCTTGTATGCTTGTCAGTGTGTTAAAATATGTTTCCAATGTGTTTACACTCTCTCTCTTAGTAAGTATGAATGTTGGTAAAAGTGAATTGGAGGTATAAAATTACGTTTAAAAAAATAGAGCGCAGGTAGTTTTGTATGTATCAGATTTTTATGTCCTTTCAGAAAAGGTCAACGGATGTGCCAAATGACAGCAAAAAAAAAAAAAAAAAAGAAAAAATCTGGATCCTACTCCTTCACAATTCACAACGCATGTGTCCGATCCTCGATGTCATCTCTCTACCGCTCAACAGAACACATTCTCAGAGACGGACGCCGGCGATGCCGATGAGACAAGAACATCGCTTTCAGTTAGACTGAAATAGTCCAAGGAGGTCGAGCTCCCATGAAAAGATAATCCGTCTGGGAAGATATTCATTCAGTCTAAGCGAGACTGTTTGCCAGAGTTGATTTGCGATTTGTTGAAGAGAGGAAAAGGTAATTTGTGCACACCTTCCATGACTCAAACATGTCTCTCTTCCCCCCCCCCGCCTCTGCTACCGTTACCGCTAAAGGAAGAGCCCTTTGAAGGAAGCAAGGTATGACGTGTGGCCACTCCCATCAACGTGAATTATCCAAAGTACTTTGAGGATTTTACTCCATATCTTTGCGATGCGGCTTCAGGGCCATGTACTGTATTAACCCTTTTCATGCGGATTTTTTTTTTTTTTTAATTCGTCTTGAGGCATGGAAAAAAAATATAATGGCAGTGGATGGCAACACACATAATAATCCATTGTCGTGGTTGATGCACAACTGTGACATTAAGATGAATGAATATAAGAGAAAAGAACATTTGAAGAGCTGTCCACTCTAGTAACCGCTGTCCCTGAAAGGGTTCATATGCTCTTTGTCCTCACCTCACTCTTCAGTCAAGACTCCGTACTCATAGAGCGGCTGTCTCTTACTAGTATTTATTTATTTTTTTTCCACAACTGGATACTTTTCCACTTAGACACAGTTTTTCAATCAGTGGTCTGAATTGTCTTACTAGCAAGGTTATTATAATTCACGAAACTAATGACACAATTAAACCTGAATTGAAAAAAAAAAACGCTTTTGATGAGAAAAAAAAAGAATTCTTTGAAAAAAATAAAAACAAACTGAAAGACATCCAACGTTTCTAATGCTAACTAAAAATAACGATAGTTAGAGGGAAAAAGTTTTGTTTTCATCTTTGTTAGTGACTATTATACATGAGCTTTCGGGGTTTCATTTCAAATGTATTACAGTATGTATTCACTTTAGGACACAATAGTTTGTGATTTAAAAAAAAATATATAATAATAATAAATAACAAACCCGCTCTAGTCATCTCATTAAAACCAACTGAATCATAAGATAAGAATAGCGTTGTTGTCCATGGACCTGAAGCTGGACATCAAGGATATGGATGAAATGCCCCAAAGGCTTTCCATACGCCACGGCCATTTGCAGGCATGACCGAATGATGCTTCTCCATTTGTCTGCAGTGTGTCACCGCATCAGCGTCGCCCATCATTCCGCGCAAACGCGTCCTTCCACGATTTCAACATGTCTCATACGGAACCTCATGCAATGTGACAAGATAACAGCAGCTTTGTCGTGCAGCATTTCACTTTCACAACCTGTATGTGTCGGGTATATGATAGACGGTCATATTTGAACTTTTTGGGAAAACGAGTTAAAAAAAAAAAAAATCAGCAAATGTGAAGAGTGCAGTTGTCTCGATTCAGCTGAGAATCTACATAAAGTAAAGAACGTACAAAAAAAATTTTTTTTGCAAGCAAAATGATATTTTGTATTGCTTTTGTGACGGTCATTTCCAAATATGCCATGAGGCGAACCTTTGTATTTCTTTTTCATGCAAATGATGACTGCAATTATGATCTTGCTACTGCTTTATGGATTAGACTTCACAACAATTTGATTTGGGCTAAGTCGCCATTGGTAGGAGTCGAACTCTTGCCATAAAGCGAGGACCTCCCGCACTGTATATGTATTTCTATTTTTGTTCCATATCTGATGCCGATGGGTCAGAACGAATTGAGAAACACCGAAATGCTGTCGGCTGCGTGCGCGGTGGGCGTGGGATGCTGCTTTGCCGCGCCTATTGGAGGTAAGGTAACATCTATGGAAAGCCGTCTGAGCATTTTTAACCCATTTTCTTCATAACCACTTTACGGTTTGTGTACTCATACAGTCTTTGTCCTCACGAATACGACACTTCAGCGTACTAGTAGAATTTACATTTTATGTTTTTTTCCATTGCTTGTGCCACATTTGGCCTATGGGCGCGCCATTAACCCTTTCATGCACCAATAATGGTAACCTGATAACATAACATGATAGGCTATCACTATTGCGCTGCACTTGTAACACTACAACGCCCAACTACTGTGGAAGCCATGTGTCATGTACTAACATCCTTCTAAATCCTTCTAGTTGCATCAAAAAAATTCGGACTGAACCTCTGCACCGTGAAGCCGACGTGCTAACCAGTCGACCACCTTCACTGACTTTATGAGTGATTATTAAAAGAAGATGCACATTGACCAAAAGCCGTTTTAATTCATTTTGTGTGTCTGTTTTGTTTGCGTCTACTCCCGCCAAAGGAGTGTTGTTCAGCATCGAAGTCACGTCGACGTTTTTTGCCGTGAGGAACTACTGGAGGGGTTTCTTCGCTGCTACCTTCAGCGCCTTCATCTTCCGAGTGCTGGCCGTGTGGAACCAGGAGGAAGGTACAAGAGCAGAAAGAATCACCTGGAATGGTTGAAATAGTCCAACGCAAAGGGTAGAGCAACGCATGTTTCACTCGGACGATGGAAATACTCAGCAGCATATATTCTTTATCCTCCGGGAAGAAAGACTAATATCAGTGAGGCTTACTGAGGAGCTTTGAAGGTTTCAGTGTAAAGCAGGGGTGACCAACTCCAGTCCTCGAGGGCGCCTATCCAGCCTGTTTTAGATGTCTCCCTCCTGCAACAAACCTGATTCAAATGATCAGCTCATCAGCCAGCTCCGAGAACCCTGATCATGATCCCGAGCCCAATTGTTTCAACACCTTCTACAGAATTTTATTACAAAGTTCATTGTTGACTAACCTCATTTGTTTTGTCTCAGAGACCATCACCGCCCTCTTTAAGACTCGCTTCCGACTGGACTTCCCCTTCGACCTCCAAGAGCTGCCGGCCTTCGCTATCCTCGGGTGAGTGCTTGCCTTCAGAGCCGTGCCCACGTCAACTGATCCCCAAGCCGTTTGCTGTTTGAGCTGGCGAAGGACGTCTCCTTCGTTTGAGCGTCCTCATTTGCATTCCTGGCAAGTTGACTCCATTTGTGTTTGATGATCCGGGCATGAAATTAACTTTTTCCCCTGCTGGTTTGCCTCCATTTTAAACAGTTATCTTTTTCAATACAGTGTTCCTCCTACTCTATCGTGGTTCATTGTTTACGCACGTAATCACAATTTTTTAAGCAGTGTATGTCTTGCAGTGTATGTTAGTGTTAAGATAGTAGACCTTTGTTAGATGAAAGTATACGGTTTGGATGAACATGTTTGTACTTAGATATGCTGCGTTAGGGCTGTTGCTTTTGAATCTTTTTCAAATTATTTATTTATTTGTTTGTTTATTTATTTATTCATTGATGATTTTTATAATATTATATTATTATTAATATTATAACCACACTCAGAAAACAGCTCAGCCGTGATTGGCCGAGCTCTGAGAAACTGCGACATCATTTTCGGTCGTCAGCAAGCGGCAAAATGGCCACCCCATGAGCTGGATAAAAACGGGTGGATTTTGCTGCCTAATTCAAATTCCTTAAATACAATATTGAACAGGATACCGTGTTTGGACGAGTGAGGTCACAAGAAAATTTCAGACTTTGACTTCCCCTTCAAGCGGCTCTATCTCTGACTCACAATTTTTCCACTAGGAGCAGCAGAGTTTGGTCGCAATCCCTGTAGACCAATAATGAATAATAAACTGAGAAAGTCAGAGGATGAACACGAAAACGAGTGAAAGAATTTTATGGAGTTCCTGGAGTCATTGGTGCTGCGTTACAGGCTCGCCTGCGGTTTCGGCGGCGCCCTCTTTGTCTACCTGAACCGGCTCATCGTGGAGTGCATGAGGAAGCAGAAGACCATTAACAAGCTCTTGCTGAGGAAGTAAGTATCTCATCCTTTACACACAATTGGGTGTCGCCCTCACACTAGCCCCTCTAATTGTTACGGCGCCGCAAAAGTAGCACACCTAAAGGATGTCGTTGAGACCCCGGGGATGACTGAGCTTTATCAGGGAGGGAATCTGATTCTTCTGGAACAAGATAATCAATCAAGATAACTAGATATTGCTGTTAACACACACATACACACACACACCAAATTTTAACATCTTAAAAGATTTTTGACGTGTAATAAAAAATGTCCAGTTTCCGATAATCACATATCTTTTTGTCGGAAAAGCCAAAGAAGGAAAAAAAGTCCGAGCTTACGTATCGCAATCACAGAGTCCGTGATCGTAGATATCGAACAGGTTCAACATTTACGATTATCTGCTATGACAGTTTTGCTAGCGGTTTAATTTTATTTTATTTTTTTTAATCACTCTTAACACACCCCACACCACTGGATTATCGTTTAGAGACAGATGATAATCAATAATCAGATGATCTGATGTCTCCAAAACTCTTATCCCGAGTAATTTATCCTCAGGTGTGGGATGTTTTAAGAGTGAATTTTCTTTGAAGAGCATTCGGGATGCCTTTCGCAAATATTAAATCTGTTCAATTTTGCTGATATGTGTGGTCATCAAAAGGTGCACACATACCGATAATCGGGTCAAATGTAAGCATGTTATCACCCTTCTGATCATAGTCACCAAAAGCCCGGCTCTCTTATGGCTCGAAAAGATTATCTCAAGCAAGTGTCTGATGTGTAAAATGAATTTTTTCTCCCTCGCAGATCTGCTAAAAAAAATGCCCAGGCTGATAATTGTAACAGTTAAACATGTTCAGCGTTTACGATTATGTGGGTGGTGATTTTTTTTTTAAATTAATTTATTTACTTTCTGAAGTTGAAAGTCCACATTGGAGTTGTCTCGAAAAGATTATCTCAAGCAATTACCATGTGGTGTCTGATGTGTAAAATGATTTTTTTTCCCTCGCAGATCTGCGAAAAAAAAAATGCCCGGGCTGATAATTGTAACAGTTAAACATGTTCAGCGTTTACGATTATGTGGGTGGTGATTTTTTTTTTAAATTAATTTATTTACTTTCTGAAGTTGAAAGTCCACATTGGAGTTGCATGAAGAGAAGCCACATTTAAATCAATTGAGATTGAAATACGCCACTGAAGGCTCAAAATTACATACGGTGGCCCCGGACTTGTGCTTAAAATTGGCCTGGCGGCGTGTTAATTGGGTCATTGAGTCTCGCACATCACACAGAAGCTATTTTAGGGTGCTGCTCCCTCACCACCTGCGCTTGAAAAATAAAAATCTGGCCCCGTCTTGCTGGCGAGCGCACCCATTAATGACCCCGTAGTCCGTCTCTTCCTGTCAGGCGTTTGGCGTATCCGGCGCTCGTCACTCTGCTGGTGTCCACGTTGACCTTCCCGCCGGGGTTCGGGCAGTTCATGGCGGGTAAGGTGAGGATGACATGTTCTTTTTTTTTTTCTCTCTTTTCTGTTAGAATTACCAATTTAAAAACATCAACTGTGCTCAAGGGCCATATTTGCTTTTTTTTTAAATGGACAGATGGGGCAAGTCATTGGTAAATGAGGTGAAAAGAAAACCGTTCAACTATGTATGTCAAATATGTTAATATGTTATTATAATTGATAATAATTCTGTCTGCAGCCAGGTTGGCATTGCAAATGTGAATCTGTTCTGAAGTGGCTTATCTGGAAAAATAAAGGTTAAATTATTCATTCAAAAATGTTACCATATATAAAATTGTTTGTTTGGATAAAATATTAATTCATTCCCTTTCTTAATCAATCATTGAAGCTCATTTACATATGAATGAAAAAATGGTTTTATTGCAATGATTAAAATTTGTTTTAATAATAAGTAATAATTGTTCCTCATCTTATTCTTGCTTTATTTTATTTATTTAAATCAACAAAAATATTTTAAGCGGACTAAATCGAGACATTAAATGTGGATGCTAAATTTTAAATTGGTTTATCCATCAGTTTAAGAGCCATTCTAAATATTATGCCCTTATTTCCGTTTTCATTGAATGTTGATTGAATCAAATATGAATAAATCGGTGCAAAAATATGTCCAAAGAATGTGGAAAAACAGTTCATTTTAATAATGCAGAAATAATTGACATTTTTACTGCTAATTAATCGCTCAGCTGACGCAGCACGAGTCGTTGGTGGCGCTGTTTGACAACCGCACGTGGTGCCGCCAGGGCGTGGCCGAGGAGTTTGACTACATCAGCCACCATCATGCCTGGAAGCACCCCCAGGTCAACGTCTTCATCACTCTCGTCCTCTTCATCATCATGAAGGTGCGTCCTCCAGACAAACTCGATTATGCCATTTTTTACTGTTCTTAAGTGTTTTACAGGGGAAGTCAAGGCAAAAAATGTTCTTTGCAATCATATGTTCCATGTGCCCCAACTTGTCTAAACACGGTAATATTGCATTCGTGGAATAGGATCCATCCATTCGGCATTTTTGGCATTATACTACCCTCTGCTGTCTAATGAAATTGATGCCGAACTGCCCTCGGGCTCATATTGGGAATGTCTCAAGACCAGACGCACAAAACAGATTACCGTATTTTCCGCACTATAAGGCGCGTCGGAGTATAAGGCGTACCTTCAATAACTGGCCTATTTTAAAACAGTTTTCATCTATAGGGTGCACCGCATCATAAGCCGCATAGAATAGAAGCTACAATAGTGGCTGTGGTTGTGTTATGCATCCACTAGATGGAGCTACACTAAAGTGAAGACAATATAATACAATACAGCTTTATTTATATGGGGCTTTCACAACCATTGCAGCTGCGACAAAGTGCTTTAAAGAACATTAAAAAATATATATATATATATATATATGTATATATATATATATATATATATATCAGGTGCACCTTATTATAAGGCGCACCGTCGGCTTTTGAGAAAATTGAATGCTTTTAGGTGTGCCTTATAGTGCGGAAAATACGGTAACTAGTTCAGCACTTCCAAAATGCACCAGGTGACATTTTTTTTTAACAAGAAAAAGAGCAGTACATTGGACCACCATAAAACATAAATTAAAAGCAAAAACTGTATATATTTACTATGAATTACCAGTGTAACAATTTTACATTTGACAAACTTGTTTGAAACTTGAAATTTTTGTTCGCAACACCAGACAAAAACAAAAAACAAAAAAAACGACTGGTTGTGTCTCAAAACTGTCCGTCTACGAGCGATTAAAAAGTCCGTTATGTCCATTCTGTCCACTTGAATGTCCACCGTCAGTTCTGGATGTCCGCCGTGGCCACCACCATGCCTGTTCCATGCGGGGCCTTCATGCCAGTTTTCCTCATTGGTGAGTCCACTTTCGTCGAAGTTCTTTTTCATGACAATATAATCCCCGCCCAAAAAATGGTGTGAACGTGTGTGATGTTTAGGTGCAGCATTTGGCAGACTGGTCGGAGAGATCATGGCTGCCATGTTTCCTGATGGTATCCATGCCAACGGCAGCGTCTATCCCATCGTTCCCGGCGGTTATGCCGTAGTGGGTGAGCATCTTCAATCATCTCGAAGCCATTTCTCTCTTCAGGAAGAGATAATACTAAAATGTTTTGAGGAGATGAATTTGGGGTACGTTTAGGGTTTAGGCGTTATAAGCATTTGTAAGGGAGACGATTCCTGGTAGATTTTTGTTATTCTCCTCGAGGCTCGATCCCAGGTTGATGGTACATCATTTTGTGATTTTTTTTTTTATTGCTTAATAGTGTTGCTGTATTGTGGTTTATTGGGCTTCATGGCCTATTTTCAGGAATCAATCTACAATCCGCTGCCATTTTTATCACTTCATCGCTGCTTATGGGATGTGAGTGATTAAAATTGATCGCTCTGAGGTTCAACATGACATCTTGGGCAGACCACACGGTAGAAAATGGTCAGTCGATAAAATTGCAATCGTCTCGTCACACGGCTGTCTGTCTGTCCCATATTGCCCAAAAAATAAATCACAAACGTGTCGTCCCCCCCGTTTGTGTTCATCCCGCCGCACACTGGGAAATGCGTTTGAATGCAACTCAAGTGGACCATCCCGAAAAAATTTGAGTTGGCCACTCTTGGCTGCACGCTAAGCGAGTTACGACAAGCACAACAGTTGAGACTGTATCAGGTTCTGAGGTTCCACATACAGTAAGATATGCAGTATTTTGATTTATTTTTCTTCTTTGAACCACAAAAACATGGCATGATTGTCAAGGAAGAAGCAGATTACCACCATGAGAGACTCCGCCTGAGAAGAAAGGAGAGAGTGAGGATATTTTGAGAAGCTGGCAATGAGCGAGCAACTCATTCACTGAACCCGTGGCTTTTGCCGACAGAGACTCTCCACACTTTGCTTTACTTTCTAGCCAAAGGTATATATGAAATGTAAATATAAAACCTATCACCGAGAGTTGACCACTCATGGAACATAGGGCAGTCAATTTCCGACTCGTCGCTCGGTGTGCAGCCGCCTTTCAAATAGCAATTGTTTGGAGATTTATTGAACCTTTATGCTAATTTCCATTAGCCTGTCTATAGTAGTTCATCTTGTATGCTAGCATGAAGCTAACACTTTCGTTAGCCTAAATTACATGGCTAGGGTGTCCATTTTGGCATTCTAATATACATTTAATTCTCTTTTGCTGAAATTTTACAGTTCAACTTTGTTTTTCCCCGCCCCTTGCGCAGGTGCTGCGGCGCTTTCCGGCGCCGTCACACACACCGTGTCCACCGCGGTCATCGTCTTCGAGCTGACCGGTCAGATCTCGCACATCCTGCCCGTGATGATCGCGGTGATCCTGGCCAACGCCGTGGCACAGGCGCTCCAGCCTTCGCTGTACGACTCCATAATCCGCATCAAGAAGCTGCCCTACCTTCCCGAGTTGGGAATGGGGCATCACGAGTGAGTTTGGGAAGACTCTTAATCCACTATATAGAGGCTGGTTAGTGGCTATTTTGTATTGCTGTTCAATTCGGATGTACAGCGAATAATGGTTGTCCCCTATATTATGCCCTCAATGTATCCCATCATGCCTCTTGAAAAAGCAATAATATAGTGATTAGGAAGAAGAGAATGATCACTCAATCAGCCTGGTCAATTCATTGCAATAAAAGTTATCTCAAGTCATTTCTCTTATCATTGCAGTTGGGCAGAAACCTCGTTTGTCCACATGTGGTCCGTTTTATAAGCAGATGAGAACATGGATGGATATAAAAAAATCCCTCGATTTCTTCGTGGCCTTTTCCATTTTCCCGGTATTATAACCTCGTCGCTCCACCCTCCATGTTGCAGGAAGTATAATATCCGTGTGGAGGACATTATGGTGCGTGACGTGCGCTTCATCACGCTCACCTCGTCCTATCGAGAGCTGCAGGAGATGCTGCTGACCGGTCAGCTCAAGACGCTCGCCTTGGTGGAGTCTCGAGGTACGGCTTTTCAAGGACATATATCATAATTTTTTTTTTTTATTTGTTTAATTTAATAACATGTCTGAGTTATGATTTCGTCAAATGCCCCAAGGATCAAAATACAAATAACATTGTGTTATAAGACAAGAAAATGTGCTTAATAAAAATAATGTGTGTCGTTTTGAGTAGAAAACGAAATCCAGATCCTTGAATGTATGCTGATTTGTTTTAAAACATCAACGGTTAAAACATGGATCAAGGAACGGGGACTTGTTTTCTTTTTTTGAAGTCAGACGTGGCAGCTCGAATGTGGCCCGCGGCTTCGGTCGAGAATGGCCTCTTTAGAGTGCCTTGTTGTTGCAGTATAGGAAAGCATTCAGCAGACAAGAAATATATTTTTTATAATACTAAAGCTAATACTAAAACTAGAAAGAAAAGCTACATTAAAACACAGCATTTTCAAAACAACCAGCACTAATAAAAACAAACAAAGTCGCTGTGAAAATTACAACAAAACTCAAAACAAAATAAAAACCAACTGTATTGATAATTCCAAAAGTATTAAAATCCTAGTGACATCCCCTTGACCAATTTCCATCCACTTCCTCCTCCAGACTCCATGATCCTCCTGGGCTCCATCGAGAAGCTTCAGCTGCAGTCTCTGCTCTCGCTGCAGCTGAGTCGCCAGCGCCGCCTGACCCACTTGCGCCGGCTGCTCCTGGACAGCGACGCCAACGACAACCTGACCAGCCTCACCAGCTTGACCAGCGACAGCGCCCCCGCGTCGCCGCGCCACAGCAACGCTCATCAAGGGGTTCGCTTCCTGGTGAGCACCCAAGAGGTGTGGAGGAATCCGGGGCGGGGGTTCGAGAGTGAGGGCGGGTCCGGGGGAGGAGCTTGTCCGTCTCTTGGCTCGGGTTGGGAAGTCGACTTAGGGCGCAGCATGCGAGTTGCATGTAGCAGGAGGTAAAGGCACAGATGGAGTTTGTGCCACACAGTGGTGGTAAGTGCTTTGGATTTAAACTACAGACGAAAAATGTCTTATCATGATTATCACAGGCAAAAAGATCACGATTAGCGGTGTGGCTGTCACTCACGTACAAGTACAAAAGGAGCACAATATCAGTTCCGAGATCGAAATGAAATCGAGTGACACTCTTGCCAAAGGAGAACATCTGTCATTCAAAAAAATTAAGCGCCATTTCTTCTTTTTGTGGCTTTGGTCTGTCCTCGAAGTTGATTTAATGACATTTGTCAACAAACCACATGGCCAAGCTGCGCACACCAGAAGGAACGGCACAATGTTGAAATGGCAAAAACTGTTTCGTTGCTTTTGTTTCTATTCAATTATTTATTTTCTGCTTGTTTGGGGCAAGTGCAGTATTATCGAGTGCTATTTTTGTGATTAAAATATTACAGTACATGACAAATGCTTGTACGGATTTCCATTCATTTCCCTGTTTACGAGTAGGGCCGATTTAATAACCTGAGTTAAGTTCAGTTTATTCACACAGCACACAAGATTCACCGGCCCACAGTTGACACACATGAAACGGCATTCCCTGATCTCAAACCGCCCGCAGGAGGGAAATGAAAACTGAAACTGAAATAAAAAAATAAAACGCTCTTCTAAAACTGGGAAAAAAAAATAAGATTTTTTTTTTTTTGATAGTTAAAAAAAAATTGCTTCCCCAAATACAGTATATATTTATTTATTTTTTTTTTATTAATCAGCAGTTTAATCTATCAGAATCGGCTTCGGCCTGAACAAACCCACATAGGTCGGGCCCCAGTTACGAGCGTTGTCGGCGAACCACTTAAGCGCCACCGTCTCTTGAACCGTTTTTTGCCTGTTGCAAACTGCTGAAATGTCGTCCCGGTTTTGCCATTAACACGCAACGTTTGTCTTGTGTGTGTCTTGTGGTCTGTGCCCTTACCTGTGCTGTCTCCTTTTTGGCTTGTCTGTGGCATGTCGTTTTTTTTGTTTGCTGTGCACGCGCGTGTCATGCACGTGTGCGTCTCCCTTTTGTTAATGTGTCTTGCATACAGATCTCCACAGAGGAGTCGTCCTCCTTCGGCCCGCCCGGCTCCACCCTTCACCGTCCCCTCAAGTCGGTGCTCAAAAGCGCCGGCGACGCCCACACTCCCGCCAGTACGTCATCGCCGAGCTGCCGCGCGATTCGAGTCAAGTCTGAAATGTGAACGTCTGATTGTGTCTTTTTGTTTTTGTTTTTGTTTTTTCCTCTGCAAGGCTCTCAGGCGCCGTCCAGTGCTGGGCAAGACCAGGAGACGCCAGAGGTGACAGCAAACAGTCACAGTGCTTCACTTGTTACTCATTGATTGGTAACGCGGACAAAAACGCAGACCGCGGTTTTGAGACCCTAACCCGATTTGGAAACCTTAACTTTAATTTGAACCCCTACTTCAACACCTTACTTTGAAACCTGAACCTTATTTTCAAACCCTTAATGTGAAACCCTACCTTGAAACTCTCACTTTACTTTGATACCCCACTTTGAAACTCTAACCTTACTTTGAAACCCTACTCCATATTTGAAACCCTAATTTGGAACCCTGATCCTAGTTTGAAGCCTTTATTGGAAACCCTAACCCTAGTTTAAAACATTCATTTGAAATGCTACCCTCAGTTTCAACCCCTGTTTTGAATCCCCAACCCTATATTGAAGTCCTCAGCTGAAACCCTAACCCTAATGTGAACCTCTCATTTCAAACCCTAACACTAGTTTGAAACCTATCCTACTTTTAAATCATAACTGTTAGAAGGGCAGGATCAAGATTTTGGGCTTTTGGGATTGAGCCTGAGCAAAATGATCCACATGACTAGAAGCTTTGTTGGTTTCATTCAAGTAGCACCCTGCTCACCGAGGGGGACTTCATTTTCTTCTCTTTTTGGGGGGTGGGGGGGGGGTCACTCACATTGACTTTGTCCACTCTCTTTTGACCCGACGCTCCCGGTGGGAAGAGTCCGTGTGAGGTGGCCCCGTGCGAAAGAAGGAAGCCCAAGCGCGTGCGCATCTCCATGGCGGTAAGACTGGCTCGTCTGTTGCCTGGTAACCGTTGTCTTGCCAGGACCAAAGAACTTGTGGCGCCTGAGCAAAGTGCGTCTGTCTGTCTGTGCGTGTTGTGTCTCTGACTTGAAGGTGTCTGCTCATTCCAACCATTTTCTATCGCCTTGCATACCAACCAATCGCAGGGCCAGTCCGCATTTACATTCACTGCAGGAGGCGATCTTTTAGAATCTTCACTTAACCTTGAGATGACCAAATAGTTATTTCATGACCTTTTGCATCCTCTGTCCACATTTTTATTTCTTCAGACTGTATTTTCTATATTCTGATTGTGACAGTAACGCCCCACCCCCAACAGGGGTTACGTTGCAGACCATCCCCACATTCGGGAAATCTGTGACATAGAAATAACTATTTAAATACTTCCTAGGTATATATTTATAGCACAGGTGTCAAAGTCAAGGCCCGGGGGCCAGATCTGTCCCACATTATTTTATGTGGCCCGCGAAAGCAAATCAAGCATGCCAACTTCCACGATGCCTGCTAAAGTCTGAACCAAAATTTCAAATTGTCACATGTAATCCACAATAACAGTCATTATTCTTGACTTCTGATTTTAAAATGAGTTCTCCATCAATTTGTTTTGCGCTGTGTATGTAATATGTGGAGGTGATTAAACATTTAGATAGTTTCCCAAAATTCGTAATGGCCCTCCAAAGGAAACCGTAACTACAATGTGGCCTGCGACAAAAATGAGTTTGACACCCCTGATTTATAGCATTTACCGCCCTTAGTTTGTCTTGTCCAGGGAAACCAAGACAAGAAAGTATTTATAAAAAAAAATGATGAGATTATGCTCTACAATTATTTTTAAAATAATACTCACAGGTTTAAACATATAACATATTAAGAGAGAAGAAGAACAATAGATAAAAAAAAAAAGTATTGCGCAGTGTAATAGTGTACAGGAAACAAATCCTGTTTTTTTTTCCTTACCAACAAACTTAATTGATCATCTCACAACACCAATAATCAATCCACAAATTAACATTGTAAAATAAACTTTACAGCCGTCACTTTTTGTAGGCATAAAAAGCAGGACTGAAGAAGATTTGACATTTGGTGATCTTAAGAAAAAAACCAACATGAGCAGAAATACTTCTTGTTTTCATTCTTCTTCTTTGTACACTGTATCAAAATAATCTGCCCCCATCTACTGGTTGACAGTGAAATTACACCCAAAATAAACGGAAGGCTGAACAAAATAAAATGAAAAACTTTTTTTTTTTTTTTAAATGTTGTCCCATTACAGGACTCGACTGAAGTAGAAGATTGTATGAGCCCAACTGAGGTGAGAACCACAGAAGAAGAAGAAAGGAGCTAAACCCAAGCTAAATCTTATGCTTTTGTTATCAGCAATAGTAGTCGTCGTAGTAGAATAAGTAGATGGGTGTCCTATTTGGTTTTAGATCGCCGAGTGGGAAGAACAGCAGTTGGACGAGCCGCTGGATTTTAAGAACTCCAAGATTGACCCCGCTCCATTCCAGCTAGTGGAGCAAACCTCGCTTCATAAGGTGCAAGCAACCAACCTTGTGCAGGACTCAACATGCTACGTTGTCAACCATCATTCTTGTATCTTGCACACCCCGCAGACCCACACTATCTTCTCCCTTCTGGGTCTGGATCACGCCTACGTGACCAGCATGGGCCGTCTGGTCGGTGTCGTCTCCCTCAAAGAGGTTTGCTTGTGTTTGTCATTGGCTGGGGACACACATAACGATTTGGAATATCTGAACTGACTTTTGTCCTGTATGAGACCCCCCCCCCACCCCCACACACCTATGTAAAAACAATATTGAACTGGGTTAACATTTACGATCGGTGGCCGATGACAGCCTTCTAAGATGAATGGGGAGGGGGGAAAAAAATCACTCGTCACATCCCGCACCTTCGGATAACGGCCACAGATTATTACATATCTGATAAATTGTGAAAGGCCCCCCACACACGATAAAAATATTTATTAGATGTATGATTTGCAGTCATAAATATTTCATAGATTTAACATGTATGATTGGCGGATCACCATTTTAAAACATAATCGGGACTTTGCTGACTTTGATCAAAAGGGGGAGAAATCCTGAAATCACATTCAAGATTGTCAGTCAAAACCATTTTGCGAGCAAACTGGGAAGAAAAAAATACTTTTAACACTCCCCAAACGCAGGATAATCTTTTTGAAACATCCACTGATTGAGTTTTTGACTTTGATCGAAAGAGAGGTAATCATGCTCAAAATCGGACATCTTATCGTGATGTGTGTGCTTCAGCCTTGTTGTCATGTGACTAAAACTCCTTTACAGTTACGTAAGGCCATAGAGGGCTCTGTGACGGTGACGGGGGTGAAGGTGCGCCCCCCGCTGGCCAGTTTCCGTGACAGCGGCAACACCAGCAGCATCTCCGAGGTCACGGAGCTCCACAAGTTGTGTATCCGCCACCGGGGACTCTCATTGCCGCGGGAACCCAGACCACCGGACCAGGTGGAGGACCAGACGGACGTGGCGTACCAGGATATGCCCATCGGCGTGTCAGACCAGACTGGCCCGGGCGACGTAGAGCTCGAGGAGAGCCCCACATTCACCGAGGACCAATCGGACTTTACCTTTGACTGCAGCCTCGCCAACACCGAGGAATCCGAGCTGGTTTGTGACTTTGAGCCACCGCCGGGCCAAATTCCGGTTCAAGCGGCGCAAAGAAGCGGGAGTCCCCCTCTCAGTGGGGACCAATTAGAACTAGAGGCGGTGAGACCAATCGCTGATGACCAATCAGAGTGATGAATGTTGACATTCCTGCCATTTGTATATTGACAGTACCCGCTCCATTTCAACACAGCCACAGTCGGGATATCACTCCCTAGTCACTTGTGTGTGTGTGTGTGTGTGTGTGTGTGTGTGTGTATA